TTTTGACATTATTTTGTTTTTCCTATTTCTTTTTCAGGAGACTGGTTGTACAAAGCAGAAAAATACAAGGTAAGTCAGTTTTTGTATGCACACTGCTCGTTATTTCTCTTCACAACAGAGGATAATTCATTGAAACATTTGCAATTTAAGAAAAAGACTGCTATGTCGTCTTGAATTTAATATAAAAGAGTGCCTCATTGGCTCTGAAATGTCCTTAGGCCTATACCACCTCATCTTAATAGGTCTTGCTTTGTACTAAAAAACTTTTTTTGGTGGTTATTTGTAACGAGTTGCTTCTCCAATAATACTTTTTACCATATCCTATGTTTCAGATTCTTGGTTGAAACAATGAGATGGACCTTGTCGAGATGGTAGATTGGAGCAGACTTCTCTTAGATGTGTTTAAGTGTCATGATTGGCAAGGGAAATTGCATTTGGTGGAAACTGGAGAGGATATATTATGTATGACTAAGATTTGAACAGTGTACATGCCTTTCGTAGAAATAGAGTTTTTGTTTCCAGAAAACATTTTGAACTTGTAATTATAAAGACTGAATGTGTGCTGAAAATGCAATCCTAATACGACTAACTACTGATCCTAATACGACTAAGCTATTGAATGATGTCCTAACGCCAGATGTTCTACTAGTACTTAGCTGCTGCATCATTACCTAATATATAGCTTCTTTAATGTATCTTCTATTTTTAAGATTGAAATTCGATGTTCGAATTTCTATCTGAATTTGAAGAGAAGTAGTTTTTGGTTTTGGTTCGAGTAGTTAAGCTTCAACCTTGCTGGGTTTTGTCTTTATGCTAGAAGGAATGAGATAAATCCTTTAATGTTACAACAAGTGGAGTAGAATAGATAATTGTACTACTCATTTTGGACTTTGTTTTATTTCATATATAAAATTTAAATAAAACTACTTGTACAAATAAAATAAACTAAAACTACTTGTACAAATAAAATAAAACCACTTGTACAAATAAAACAAAAAACTACTTAAATAAAT